GTCTGGTAATCTCTGGCTGGATGGCTGCTCACACTGAGGCATGTTGGAAGGCCCAAGTGCAAGGCCAGGCCATATTGACTTGTGGGCACCACTGACCAGGTGATCAGGTGAGAACTGAAAGAAGAGCATTAGGAGGTCTTTTCTCTAGGGTTTTGGAAGTCAGTTTTTCCAAGGAGGAATGCTCTAGCGTCCTGGCCCTGGAGGGTTTACCCCTGGCCACCGGTTCTGAATGCTGGTTAGGAGACAGGAGTTGATTTGATAGTCACTTCCTTCTAATCCTCCTATACTCAGTGCAGTGCCTCATACTCACCTGCTGTGCCTCAAGTCTCTAAGTCCTGGCCTCCCTAAGTCCCACCCTACCTGTTTCAGTTTCTTTAGAAAACAAGTCTTTTTGCTTCTTTGGAAGTAGGAGGAGAGGAGGGGGGTTGCCTAACTAAATAGGTAGGGGAGAAGAGCCAGGGTCTAATTGTTCCTTATACAAACTTCTACAACCCCTTCTTGCCTTCCAAGATTGCTAGTGTTTCCGATTCCTGAACCTTTCTGGGTTTCTGCCCCAAGAGCCAGCTTGTTTCCCATTTGCTTAGCCTTCTGTGGACATACCGGTTTTGACTTTCTGCCATGTGCTAGACCAGTTGCCACTTCTCATCTGCTTTCTATCTTCTGTGAGTATTGACATCTCCCATCTCTTGTCTCTCTTCTCATTTGTTTTTTTCTTCCGAATTTAAAATTCCACTGATGTAATTTTAGTAGTCTTTCAGGGAGGAATAGTGGTAAACGTAGGTGTTTAATCTGCTGTGTTTAATTGGAATGAGCCCAGAGACCATGAATTTGTATCAATTTGAATGGTTATCAGTGGATATCAGTTTGAATGGTTGGATGGCTTTTGCTAGCAAAATCTAGCAATCCTGGTGGATTTGGTAAGAGAAGGGCTCGCCAATTGGATTGGGTTTTCACCAGGTGGATTTGGTGGAAGGACCAAAGGGCTGGAGAGTTGAGGATTTTGCACAAAGAGTGGTTGAAACAACAGAACATACAGTCTAGGTTGCATAAGAGGAGAAAAGAAAGATATGAGGGAATTGATGGTTAGAGGAGTTGATGGGCTAGAGATCCCATGAAGTCGGAAGAAACTTGTGGATTTTTTTAACAAACCCTACTTGGTCTTACCAGCATCTTCTCAGCCAGGGGCTGAAGCCCTGTCCCTAATCCATTCATGTTTCTTTGCTTTATTGTTCTATCTTGCAGGTTAATGTCCTTTCTTTTAAAAAGAAAAACTCTTGGGATGCCAGGGTGGCTCAGTCGATTGGGCATCTGACTTTTGATTTTGGCTCAGGTTGAGATTATGACCTGAGCCAAAATCAAGAGTCATGGGATTGAGCCCTGGATTGGGTTCCACACTCAGCTCAGAGTCTGCTTGAGGTTTCTGTCCCTCTGCCCCTCCCCCTACTCCTGCTCTTGCACATTCTCTCTCTCTCTCTCTCTCTCTCTCTCTCTCTCTCTCTCAAATCTTTAAAAAAGAAAAGAAACCTCTTTGCAGGCAGAGGCTCTTCCCTCTGTCTGGTACCCAGGGCAGGACTCTGTATGGGGAACAAGGGTGGCAATGTCTCACCTCTCTATTTATCCCTGGAGAAAACTGGGGGTGTTCAGAGCTCTCACCTCCAGATTTCATTTCTGAGCCATGCCTGAGGTGGAATAGATGAAGAAGGTCCTGGGAGGATGAAGTCTTCCCTACAGATCCTTTATTTGGAGCTTTGGGAAAAGCGTCCCTCCTGCTAGCGATCTCTGTTTGCTCACCAGTTGTTCCCTCTTGCAACCTGTTTTCTATCCCCACTGCGACAGAAAAGCCTCCCCTGGCCTACTTGTCATATCTACTGGCCTGAGTCCTATGAACACCAGCAGATGCCTTGGAGTTTCTCTCTTGAAAACCCCTTAATTTACAGAAACTAAGACCCTGGGGTGTCCTCACTCCTGGTCCAGTGTTCTTTGCACTGCAGCAAATTCAGTGCCTGAGAGGCACCTAGAGGCAGTCAAGAGTGATGGTGAGGAACAGGGGCTTCAGAGCCCAACACGCCTGGGTTCAGACCGAGCTTGGCCATGTGCCAGCTGCATGATCTGAGCCAGTTATATACATAGCATCTCTGGAATCTCCGTTTAAAGTGGGTAATACGGGATCCATCCTGGGTGGCGCAGCGGTTTGGCGCCTGCCTTTGGCCCAGGGCGCGATCCTGGAGACCCGGGATCGAATCCCACGTCGGGCTCCCGGTGCATGGAGCCTGCTTCTCCCTCTGCCTGTGTCTCTGCCTCTCTCTCTCTCTGTGTGACTATCATAAATAAATAAATAAAAGTGTTAAAAAAAAAAGAAAAAAAATAAAGTGGGTAATACGCTCGCCCTAAACAGTTGTAAGATGATAATGCATATCAAGTACTGAGCGTGGCATGTGGTAAATGCTTCGTTGGTACTTGTCTTTCTTTGCTTCTCCTCCTCAAGCCTCTCTGCCCAAACACCCCACTGCCGTTACCCCTCAGGTGAGCGAAAATGACACTGATGAAGGATTGACTCTTTCATTCTCAAGGCCTGGGTCAGCTCCCCTATCTCCCCCAAACCCAATCTACTGAAGAAAAAGTTAAGGGTTGGATCACTAGGGTTCCTTGAACTAGCCTGGGGTCCAGTGGCTGCCAACAGTGGATTATAGGAGAGCAGCCCACTTTGAGGAAGGTTTCTCTTTATGGTTCTTTGATCCTCTTCCCCACTCATTTGGGGGCTTCCTGGACTTTGGTGTTTTCCCCTCTCCCTGGCCATCTCTCTGAGCATTTTCTCCCATGGGAAATGGAGCCCATCACAAGGCTTCAGCTGTACCCCGACTCTCAGATCTGCTCTCTTCTAGCGGCTCATCAGAGCTTTGGGCCGACCTCCTCATTCCTCAGTCCTTTCCTCCCCACACCACCCTTATCCAAATTGTGGCTTGCTTCTTGCCTGGTTTACAGCAACGCCCTGTGCATGCTGTACGCTGTGCCTTACACTGGTCTGAGCACCAGTTTCATCACATTATTCCTTGCCACCGAGTCTTTCAGTGAGTTCCTATTTTCTTTTTCTTTTCTTTTTAAGATTTTATTTATTTAAAAAAAGGATTTTATTTATTAGAGGGAGAGTGAGCACAAGCAGAGGATGGGCAGAAGTAAACTCCCCGGGGATGCCTGGCTGGCTCAGCATCTGCTTTTGGCTCAGGATGTGATCCCAATCCTGGGATCGAGTCCCACATCGGGCTCCTTGCAGGGAGACTGCCTATCCCTCTGCTTGTGTCTCTGCATCTCTCTGTGTGTCTCTCAGGAATTAAAAAAAAAAAAAAAAAAAAGAATAAGTAGTAGACTCCCCGCTGAGCAGGGAGCCCCACTCGGGGCTCAATCCCAGGGGCCTGAGATCATGACCAGAGCTGAAGGAAAGATGTTTAACCGACTGAGCCACTGAGGCGCCCCAATGAGTTCCCGTTTTCTGCAGGATAAAATCTAGATCCTTGGGCCTGGCTGGCACTCAGGGCTCCCCAGAATCTCCTGCAACTCTGCCCACCTTGCCTTTGCTCCAGTCTCATCTTGCAGACCTCCCTCCAGCCAGCCAGGTGCCTTCCCTGACCTTACATCAAGCCATACCTCTTTCCCCTGTTGGCTCATGGCATCACCCTACCCCCAGTGCCTCCCTCCCTCCCTCCCTTTTGTTAATCTCACTTCTGCCCACTTTCAAGATTCGGCTCCAGTCCTGCTTGCAGATCTTCCCCAGCCTTTAGCCGCCATCTGCCATCCGTTTCCTCTTTTCCTCAATAGCATACGGGGGCAGCATTCAGCCTGTGACTGTTGCACATGCATCTGTGTCCTCCCAGCAGACAGGGAGGCTCTTTCTGTCGCCTGCAACCTGTCGTGAATGCAGTTGGTGCTCATTTCAGATAACGCTTTGTCTATATTGAGCACTCTCAGCCTGCAAGGCACAGGATTCCACTTGTTAAACAAAATGTTTCCTCAACATAACCCCCTTTCCTTCCTGCTCCAGGAGAGGGCTTTAGAAATGAAGATAGTTCTGGAAAGCCCTCTCTGGGGGTGGGGATGCAAAGAGACAAACCATTTCTTTTCTTTTTTTTTTAAGATTTTATTTATTTATTCATGAGAGACGCAGAGAGAGAGGCAGAGACCCAGGCAGAGGGAGAAGCAGGTTCCCTGCAGGGAGCCTGATGTGGGATCCGATCCCAGGACCCCGGGATCACACCCTGGGCCCAAGGCAGGCACCAAACTGCTGAGCCATCCAGGGATCCCCGAGACAAGCCATTTCACCTCCACCTATCTCTCTCTGGCTCCCTCCCCCTGTGTCTCGGGGTCATTGGCAGCAGTTTCTTGCCCCTCCCCTCCCCTCCCCTCCCCTTGTCTCCTGTCCAAACATTCTGCACGTGGTGGCCAAGTCCCCTCTCCAGCCCTCTGATTCACAGTGGTTCTTCCTGCTGGCTGCTCTCTCAGCCCTGATGTTAATGTTTTTGCTTTTCATCTCGTTTCCCCCTTCTTCGAGCCAGCTAATGATTATTCAGGGACTTGTCTCATCCAGCCGTCCCCTATCCCTAAGTTCTCTTTAGGGCAAGGGTCACGAGAGTGATCTCATGGCCATGTGACTGCTGCCTATACCTCACCCCCTCCGCTGTCCTGATCCTAACACTCTCAAAAGCTGGTTGTGTGCCCTGCCTCCAGCCACCTGAACGGAGACCTGAGTGGGAAGGTAAGCCTCTGGTCCTTGCCTTAGGCAGGCAGTGGCCACGAGTTTCCAGCTGCTCAGCTCCCGCTGCCTCTTTGTTCCCCACCTGTTGCTGCTCACTGACTTTCTCCCTGGGCACCCGCTTGCCCTTGTCTGTGCAGTGAAGGCTGGGGCGGAGCTGCAGGCGGCCGGGCCCTGCTGTGGCCGTGGGGTCCTGGCCGCCCGGGCCCAGGGGATGCGCAGGCTGGGTGGGGAGTAACTCCGGCTTTGCTCACAGATTTCCTCCTGATGGCTGACTCTAAACCACTCTGCTCCCGTGACGGGGACCCCATGGCTGCAGAAGCCTTGCTCCGGGATGTGTTTGGGATTATTGTGGATGAGGTCATTCGGAAAGGGACCAGTGCCTCGGAGAAGGTGGGTCCTGCCCCCTCCTCCCGCCCGCGTGCCCGGCTCTCAGCTCGCCTCCTGCCACAAGGCTTCACCCCAGAATTCATCACTGTCTCCCCGTGCGCCTCGGGGCCGCGTCCCGGGTCCTCCTGTGTCTGTTGGCCCTGGTTCCCGAGTTGCTTGGGAGGCAGCGCTAGCGCGTTGAGTGCAGATGCACACGGCTGGGGCAGCCACGGGGTGGGGGGGTTCCCCAGGCCCAGGACCTCCTCCCCTGCCCCCTCCCGCCAGGTCTGCGAGTGGAAGGAGCCCGAGGAGCTGAAGCAGCTGCTGGACCTGGAGCTGCGCAACCAGGGCGAGGCGTCGGAGCAGATCCTGGCGCGCTGCCGGGCCGTCGTCCGCTACAGCGTCAAGACCTGTGGGTGCGGGGCCGCGGGGGGCTCTGGCCTGGGCGCAGCCTGGCGCTCAGCTCCGGCTCCTTCCCCAGGCCACCCGCGCTTCTTCAACCAGCTCTTCTCGGGGTGGGACCCGCACGCGCTGGCGGGGCGCATCGTCACCGAGAGCCTCAACACCAGCCAGTGAGTGCCCTGGGGCCTGGCCCCCACCCTGCGGCCCGGGGAGGACGGTTCGGCTGGCAGCGCCGCTGGCACATCTTTCTGCTCATCCCCTCGGGCTCCTTTCTCCCAGCTTTCTCAGGCCTCCTGACCCCAGTGTCTCCTCCCTGTCCGTCCCTGGCTCCGTCCTGGCTCCTGGTCGCCAGCTCGTCCTCCCTGGCTGTCCCCCCTCCTGGCCCGCCCCCCAGCCTGGCCTGGGCAGCCCCCCTCCGCCCGCCCTGCCTCATGCCCGTCTCCCGGCAGGTACACGTATGAAATCGCCCCCGTGTTTGTGCTCATGGAAGAGGAGGTGCTGAAGAAGCTCCGGGCCCTGGTGGGCTGGAGCTCCGGGGACGGGGTCTTCTGTCCGGGTAGGTGAGAAGGAGCGGCCCCCTGTGGCCCTCGCAGGGTTCCTCCCCCGGCCCTCTTGCCCTGTGCTGGCCGGGAGGGGCGATTCCTCTTTGTTTCCTCTCCAGCTGGGCTCGGGCCAAACCGGGGAGAAGCTGCCCAGGCCCCTGTATCCTCGTGTTTGCCAAACAGCCGTGGGATCAGCCCTCCAGTGCCTGCCGGGGAGGGGAGGCGCTGTCCTGGGTCAGCCTGGGATCCGGAGGGGAGCGGTCGGGGCCGCCTGTCCCGGGTCATCGCAGCCGTCCCGGAGCCCCGGAGCTTATCACTCGCGCTGCTTGAGCCGCTCCCTTGGGTGGAGAGGTCGGGGCGGCCAGCTCCGGTTTTGACCCGCTGCTCCTCCCTCTTGCCGCCTTCCCTGCGACAGGTGGCTCCATCTCCAACATGTATGCTGTGAACCTGGCCCGCTATCAGCGCTACCCGGACTGCAAGCAGAGGGGCCTGCGGGCCCTGCCGCCCCTGGCGCTCTTCACGTCGAAGGAGGTGGGAGGAGGCTCAGGCCTACCGCGGGCTCCTGACTAATGTCCCGCCGCTGAGCCTCCCTGCCCCTACCCGTCGCCGGGGCCAGCCTGCCCCAGCCAGAAGTGCTTCCTTCCAACCAGGGGGCTGGGTCAGTGCTCCGTTCCCCTTGCCTTCTGTGTGGGGAGCAAAGGGACAACGAGTGCCACACCCTTTCTACTCCCAGTGTAGTCTGTGGACCAGGAGCATCAGGAGCACCTGGGAGCTTGTTGGAAATGTGCAATCTCAGGCCCCACCCCAGATGTACTGAGTATGATCTGCATTTGAACCAGAGCCTTGGTGATTTGTAGGCGTGGGAACATTCGAGAAGCCTTGGTCTACAGGCTCATCTGTTGCGGCTCACACATTTACCAGTCTCTCTCCTCCCTCCCTCTGCCCTCTCACCGCTAGCCTAATCTGCCCTTTGCCTTCCTCCACAGTGTCATTACTCCATCAAGAAGGGAGCTGCTTTTCTGGGACTCGGCACTGACAGTGTGCGAGTAGTCAAGACAGATGAGAGGTAAAGGCCCTTCTGTTCACATGGCTCAGACCCAGCCTGGCACAGTGTACTTCACCACTGCCAGGAGCTCTGGCCTCGGGCCCGTGCCCCAAATGGGTTTGTCTCCCCTCTCTGTTTCTTCTTCTTCTTTTTTTTTTTTTTTTTTTTAAGATTTTATTTATTTATTCATGAGAGACACAGGGAGAGAGAGAGGCAGAGACCCAGGCAGAGGGAGAAGCAGGCTCCATGCAGGGACCCCGATGTGGGACTCGATCCCAGGACTCCAGGATCAGGCTCTGGGCTGAAGGCAGATGCTCAACCACTGAGCCACCCAGGCATCCCTCTCTGTTCCTTCACAGGTTGTCCCTTCTGCCTACTGATGCCTACTGGAGCCCCTGAGATCTATTTACCCCTCTAGGGAAAAAAAAATCAACATTGTGGCCTCTGCGTACCTAGCCCCATGTTATCCTACTCTCAACAGTTGTGTCTTCCAGCTGAGAAAACCAATTACTTCTTTACCCACTTGGTTTTCTTCTCTATTTTTCTTTTATTTTTTTTTCTTTTTTATTTTTTTATTTATGGTAGTCACACACAGAGAGAGAGAAAGAGGCAGAGACAGAGGCAGAGGGAGAAGCAGGCTCCATGCAGGGAGCCCGACGTGGGACTTGATCCCGGGTCTCCAGGATCACGCCCTGGGCCAAAGGCAGGCGCCAAACTGCTGCGCCACCCAGGGATCCCTCTATTTTTCTTTTAAAAGATTTTATTTATTTATTCATGAGAGACACAGAAAGAGAAGCAGAGACACAGGCAGAGGGAGAAGCAGGCTCCCCGCGGGGAGTCCGATGCGGGACTCGAGCCCGGAACTCCAGGATCACACCCTGGGCAGGAGGCAGGCGCTAAACCGCTGACCCACCCAGGGATCCCCTCGGTTTTCTTTTCTAGAGGGAAAATGATTCCTGAGGATCTGGAGAGGCAGATCGGTCTGGCCGAGGCTGAGGTAAGTGAGGGAGGGGTGCTGGGGCAGTGGAGCGGGGCCCCTTGGTCTCTTCTTGGAGGCTCCTCTGGGCTCTCCCCACTGAAGAGCTCATCCCTCTTCTTGACCTCTGTGCCCATGTCCCCCATGGGCGGAAGTGATCAGGACACTCTGTGCTGCTCTCAGGGGCTTTGCTGAGACCCGCAGGCGGGACCAGACCCCCGGGGTCAGGGGCAGGCCCGAGTCACGGAGTGGAGTCCCTGGGCAGCACCAGCAGGGAGTATGTTGGGGCCCTGAGTGTAGCATGGAAGGTTTCCGTGAGCTGCGCGGCTCCGTGCAGGGAGAGCTCAGGAAGGTGTGCCAGCCGGCAGTGAGGACGGCGGGCTTTGGGCAGTGGGAAACGCGGAGGCGCCCTGCACGCTCGGGGCGCGTGGAAACTGCTGCAGCCATCTTGAAGGGCATTTGGCACTCTCCATGCGACTTTTTCTTTGTGTCTGCAAGGATTTTAAATTTTGTTTTTGTGTGTTTTTTTTTTCTATGCAGCGATAGCACTTTGTGATTGAATTTTCTTTTTTTTTTTAATTTTTTTTTTTGTGATTGAATTTTCTCAAGAATTAATGTTGTTGAGTATCTCTTACTGCATTTCTTTGCTATCTTAATAGTTTCTTGGTAAATCGGATGTCCAAATGCTTTGCCCATACATACACACATACACATAAATGTGTTAATCGAAGTACAGTTGACACACAAATGTTCCATTTGGCTCAAGTGTACAACTTAGTGATTCAGCACGTTTGTGTGACAGTATGCTCACCACAAGTGTAGCTGCCATCTGTCACCATACAATGCTATTTCAGTATCATTGACTATATTCCCTGTGCTCTACCTTTTGGCACTATGTCTACAATATCTCTTTTTTTTTAAGATTTTATTTATTTATTCATGAGAGACAGAAAGAAGGCAGAGACACAGGTAGAGGGAGAAGCAGGCTCCATGCAGGGAGCCCGGTGTGAGACTCGATCAACCGCTGAGCCACCCAGGCATCCCTCCACAATATTTTTTTAAGGTTTTATTTATTTATTTATTTATTTATTTGGGGGGAGAGAGAGCGCGCACGTGCATGCCCACTTGTGGTGTGCAGTTCAGTGGTTTTTAACAGAGTTGTGCAACTATCACTACAATTAATATCAGAACATTTTCATCACCCCAAAAGAAAACCTTTAGCCATCAATCCCCAATTTTCCCCAGACCTCCTACTAGGCAGCACTAAGCTAGTTTGTCTCTCCATGGATTTGCCTATTCTAGATTTTTTTCATGTAGACGGACTTACATTATGCATGGTGTCTTGTGATGAACTTCTTCTACTTAGCATGCTGTCTTCAAGATCCTCGTGGTAGCGCGTGTCACTACTTCATTCCTTTGATCGCTGGATAATATTCCATTGTATGGATCTACTGTATTTCATTTATCTGTTCATCAGTTGATGGACATTGGGGTTTCCACTTTTTAGCTATTTTGAGTAATGCCGCTCTGAACATTTGTGTACAAGTTTTTGTGTGAACACGTTTTTCCCTTTCTCCTGCTTATATACCTGGGGACAGAATTGCTGACTCACGTGATAACTCTGTATTTAACTTGTGAAGAGCTACCAGACTGTTGTTCAAAGTGGCCATGCCAGTTTCCAGTCCCACCAGCAGCGTATGAGGGTTCCAGTTTCTCCACATCCTCACCATCACTTGTTATTTCTTTCTTTCCTAGTTTGTTTGTTTGTTTGTTTTAAAGATTTTATTTATTTATTCATGATAGACACACACACACACACACACACACACAGAGGCAGGGACACAGGCAGAGGGAGAAGCAGGCTCCACGCAGGGAGCCCGACGTGGGACTCGATCTCGGGTCTCCAGGATCAGGCCCTGGGCTGAAGGTAGTCGCTAAACTGCTGAGCCACCCAGGGATCCCTCCTAGTTTGTTTCAGTCGAAGTATGATTTACATAAAGTGTAACGTTAGGTTCAGGTGTACAACATACTGATTCAGCAGTTCTATCTCTATAGTACCCAGTGCTCACCACAATAAGTGTTGTCACCGTGCGTTATTAGAGTATTATTGACTAGATTCTTTTTTTTTTTAAAGATTTTATTTATTTATTCATGAGAGACACAAAGAGAGAGAGAGGGAGAGAGAGGCAGAGACACAGGCAGAGGGAAAAGCAGGCTCCATGCGGGGAGCCTGATGTGGGACTCGATCCGGGGTCTCCAGGATCATGCCCTGGGCTGAAGGCGGTGCTAAACCACTGAGCCACCTGGGCTGCCCTTGACTAGATTCTTTATGCTGTACTTTCATCCCCATGACTTATTTTCTAACTGGAAGTTTGTACCTCTTAAGCCACTCTATTTCACTCATCCTCCCCCAACCTCCCCTTTGGCAACCACCAGTACCAACTTAGCCAGCCAGGCGTTCCCTCTGCCCATTAAAAAAAAAATTTATTTGACAGTGAGAGAGAGCATAAGCAGGAAGAGCGGCAGAGAGAAAAGCAGGCTCCCCACTGAGCAGGGAGCCTGACACAGGTCTTGATCTCGGGTCCCCAGGATCATGACCTGAGCCAAAGGCAGACACCCAACAAACTGAGTCACTCAGGTGTCCCCCCCCCCCCGCCCAAGCCCATTTTTAAATTGGGTTATTATTATTATTTTTTATTTCTCTTTTTTATTTTAGTGGGTGTGAAGTGTTGCCTCACTGTGGTTTTGATTTGCATTTCCTTAATGACTAATGATGTTGAGCATCTTGTCATGTGCTTACTGGCCATTTTTATATCTTTGGAGAAAAGCCTATTTGTATACTTTGCTTAGGTTTTTTTTTAAGATTTTATTTTATTTATTTATTTGTCTGTTTGTTTATTTATTTAAGATTTTATTTATTTATTCATGATAGACATAGGGGGAGAGAGAGGCAGAGACACAGGCAGAGGGAGAAGCAGGCTCCATGCAGGGAGCCTGATGTGGAACTTGATCCCGGGACTCCAGGATCACACCCTGGGCCAAAGGCAGGCGCTGAACCGCTGAGCCACCCAGGGATTCCCTAAGATTTTATTTACTTATTAGAGAGAAAGAGAGCACAAGCAGGGTTAGGGGCAGAGGAAGAGGGAGAAACAGACTCCCCACCAAGTGGGGAGCCCAAAGTGGGGCTTGATCCCAGGACCCTGATATTATGACCTGAGCCAAAGGCACGCACTTAATCCACTGAGACCCCCAATGCCCCCCTTTGCTCAGTTTTTAATTAGGTTGTCCTCAATTATTCTATTATAAGAGTTCTTCATCTGTTCTAGATATGAGTCCCTCATTAGATATGTGACTTGAAAATGGCTTCTTCCATCTTGTAGGTTGTTTTATCACCTCCTTGATGGTGCACTTTGAAACCAAAAGTTTTAAATTTTGGTGAGGTCCAATCTTTTTTTTGTTTGGTTGCTTGCATTTTTGGTGTCATATATAGGAAAGCTTTGTCCAGCCCAAACTCATGAAGAGTTACTCCTATATTTTCATCTAAGAGTTTCATATATTTTTTTATTTTTTAAAGATTTTATTTATTCATGAGACACACACAGAAAGAGAGAGAGGCAGAGACACAGGCAGACGGAGAAGCAGGCTCCCTGCAGGAAGCCCAATGTGGGGCTCAATCCTGGATCCCAGGATCATGTCCTGAGCCAAAGGCAGATGCTCAACCGATGAGCCACCTAGGTGTCCCTCATATATTTTTAAAAAGATTTTATTTACTAATTACAGAGAGTGAGAGAGAGAGCACGCATGAGCAGGGGGCAGGGGCAGAAGGAAACCCCCCGCTGAACAGGAAGCCTCACGAGGACCTTGACCCAGAACCCTGAGATCATGACCTGAGCCAAAGGCAATGGCTTAACCAACTGAGCCTCCCAGGTGCCCCAAGTTTGTGTATATATATATATATATATATATATATATATATATATATTATTTATTAATAAAAAGATCTTTATTTATTTATGAGAGACACACAGAGAGAGGCAGAAATATAGGCAGAGAGAGAAGGAGGCTCCCTGCAGCGAGCCTGATACGGGACCTGATCCCTGGACCCTGGGATCACGTCTTAAGCTGAAGGCAGATACTCGATCACTGAGCCACCAAAGGCATCCTGAGGTTGTTTTTTTTTTTTTTTTTTTTTTTTTTTTTAGACTCTATTTATTCATGAGAGACACACAGAGAGAGGCAGAGACACAGGCAGAGGGAAAGGCAGGCTCCATGCAGGGAGCCCAATGCGGGAGCCCAGCCCATCTCTGGGCTCCAGGATCATGCCCTGGGCCGAAGGCAGGTGCTAAACTGCTGAGCCACCCAGGGATCCCGCATCCTGAGTTCTATATTTTTGAAGTTTGTTTTATTTTATTTTATTTATTTTATTTTATTTTATTATATTTGTTTGTTTATTTATTTATTTATTATTTATTTATTTATTTATTTTTAAGTAAGCTCTATGCCCAATGTGGGGCTTGAACTCATGACCCTGAGATCAAGAGTTCTATGCACTATTGACTGAGCCCTCCAGATGCCCCAAAATTTTATTTATTTATTTCCCCCCCCCAAATTTTATACTTTTAATCCTTACATTTAGTTCTATGAACCATTATGAGCTAATTTTCATGTATGATAAGTATTCCTTTTGTATGTGGATATATAGTTGTCCCAGCACCATTTGTTGAAAAGAATACTCTTTACCCCAATGAATTATCTTTTTCTTTTTAAGGATTTATTTATTTATTTATTTATGGGGGGGGGAGGCAGAGACACAGGCAGAGGGAGAAGCAGGCTCCATGCAGGGAGCCCGACGTGGGACTCGATACCAGGACTCCAGGATCACGCACTGGGCCAAAGGCAGGCGCCAAACCGCTGAGCCACCCAGGGATCCCCCCCAATGAATTATCTTGACATCTTGATGAAAATCAGTCGATTATTGGAGCACCTCAGTGGCTCAGCTGGTTAAGCATCTGCCTTTGGCTCAAGTCATGATCCCAGAGTCCCAGGATCGAGGTCCATATAGGGCTCCCTGCTCAGCGGGGAGTCTGCTTCTCCCTCTGCCCGTACTCTCTCTCTCTCTCTCTCTCAAATAAATAAAATCTTAAAAAAAAAAAAGAAAGAAAATCAGTTGATTGTAAATGTGAGGTGGTGTTTCTGGATCTGGATTCTTAATTCTGTTCCATCCATCTGCACGCCTATACTATAGACCACATTACCTTAACTAAGATACCTTTGTTTGTTGTAAGTTTTCAATCAGGAATTGTGAGCTTTCCCACCCTGCTCCTTTCCTAGATGGTTTTGGCTATTCTAGGGCCCCTAAATTTCCATATGAATTTTAGGATCAGCTTGTCAATTTCTGCTTCGAAGCCAAGTGGGATTTTTTTTTAAACTTTTTTTTTTCCTTAAAGATTTTATTTATTCATGAGAGACACACAGAGAGAGAGAGGCAGAGCCACAGGCAGAGGGAGAAGCAGGTTCCATGCAGGGAGCCCAATGCGGGACTCGATCCTGGGACTCCAGGATCACGCCCTGGGCCGAAGGCAGGCACTAAACCGCTGAGCCACCCAGGGATCCTGCCAAATGGGATTTTGATAGGGATTGTGTTCAATTGGTAGATCCATGAACATGGGATGTCTTTCCATTTCCATCTTCTTTGGTTTCTTTCAACAATGCTTTGTAGTTTTCAGAGTATATGTTTTGCACTGCTTTTGTTAAATTTATTCCTAAGCATTCTCTCTGATGGTCTTATAAATGAAATTTTCTTTTCTTTTTTTCTTTCTTTCTTTTTCTTTTCTTTTTTCTTTTTTCTTTTTTTTTAGAAGAGTTTATTTGTTTCAGAGAGAGAGCACTAACAGGGGTGGGAGGAGCAGAGGGAGAAGACAACTCCCAGCTGACAGGGAGCCTGACGCAGGCCTCCATCCTAGGATCCTGAGACCATGACCTGAGCAAAAGGCAGACATTTAACCAACTGAGCCACCCAGGCGCCCCAAATGAAATTGTTTTCTTCATTCTATTTTTGGATTGTTCGTTGCTAATGTGTAGAAATACAGTTGATTTTTAAGTCTTGATCTTGTACTCCTGCAGACTTGCTGAACTCATTTATTAATAGTTTTTTTAGTGGATTCCTTAAGACTTTCTAGTTATTATATTATGTCATTCAGAAGTAGAGATAGTTCTGCTTTTTTCCTTTCCAGTCTGGATGCCTTTTATTTTATTTTCTTATCTAATTGCACTGCTAGAACTTCAGTGCAATGTTGAATAGAAGTGGGGAGAGTGGCCACACTTGTTATGTTCCTGATCGTAAGGGGAAGGCTTTCAGTTTTTCAGCATTGAGTATGATGTTAGCTCTGGGTTTTTTGTAGTTGTCCCTTATTAGGTTGAGAACATTGCCTTCAACTCCTAGTTTGTTGAGTATTTTTATCAAGCGGGAGTGTAGGATTTTGTCACATGTTTTTCTGTGTCTATTGAGATGTGTTTTTTCCCCTTTATTCTGTTGATAAGTGTGTATTACATTAATTGATTTTTGGATGCTAAACTGAGCGTGTTCTCCTGGGACAAATCATTTTGTCATAATGTATAATTTTTTCATATGTTGCTAATTTTGGTTTGCTAATGTTTTATAGATTTCTATACCTATGTTCAAAGAGATATTATCTGTAGTTTTCACATGATGTTTTGTCTGGTTTTGGTATCAGGCTAATACTTGCCTCATAGGATGAATTCAGAAGTGTTCCTCTTTTGTTTTTTTTTTTATTTTATTTTTGTGAAGAACTGGTATGAGTTCTTTTTTAAACATATTACAGAATTCATCAAAGAAGAGAGGCAGAGACACAGGCAGAGGGAGAAGTAGGCTCCATGCAGGGAGCCCGACAAGGGACTCGATCCCAGGACCCGGGATCACGCCCTGGGCTGAAGGCAACGCTAAACCGCTGAGCCACCCAGGCTGCCCTGTAGTAGTTTTTAAATAGCATTTTGATCTTCCAGTAAAGACACTAACATTTTTTGAAAGTGTATGAGCTTTGGAAATAGACCAGCAGACTGACCTAGGATTGGAATCCATCTCTGGAGCTTCAGTTGGGGGCTAACTTTGTTAATACCTCTGAAGCTTAGCACCTTTGCCTGCAAATTAAATGGGATAGTAGCGTGTTGAGAGGTTGAAAGGGCCCAGGTCAGGGATGCAGTAAGAGTGTAGAGATGGCTCAGCCCCGGGCTCTGGGTAGCTTTTTAGAGACCTTCACAGTTTCTTTCTTCTGCATTTTTGCCGCAGGGTGCTGTGCCATTCCTGGTTAGTGCCACCTCTGGCACTACCGTGCTAGGGGCCTTTGACCCCCTGGAGGCAATCGCTGACGTGTGCCAGCGTCATGGGCTGTGGCTCCATGTGGATGTGAGTGAGACTTGGGCCTGAGGGTGCGGTGGGCTGAACCAAGGCCAAGGCCCATGTTGTTCCTTTTACTCCACAGGCTGCCTGGGGTGGGAGCGTCCTGTTGTCACAGACACATAGACATCTCCTGGATGGGATCCAGAGGTGCATATGGCCACCTGCTTCCTGAATCCCACCCTTCAAATCCTTGGTCCAGAGAATAGTCCTGGACTAGGGAGCTTCTGACGGCAGTGAGGGAAGGAGGTTGGCGGGAGGGGCGTTGGAGAGATGATGGAGAGATGATGGAGAGGGCTGAGAGGTCAGAAGTCCCTCTCACCGCTGAGACGAAAGCCCCTTTACTGAGGGTTTGGTAGAGGAGGGGTCTCCGGTTGAGGAGCAGCAGCTGACCCGGCTTTGTTCTGCGCACCCCAGGGCTGACTCGGTGGCCTGGAACCCCCACAAGCTGCTCACAGCGGGCCTGCAGTGTTCAGCTCTTCTTCTCCGGGACACCTCGGTGGGTCGGCTCACCCTGGACCTCTGTCTTTTTCTCTGGCCTACCTCAGAGAGGGTGCTGGCCTTGCTGTGCCCTCCCCCCTGCCCGCCCCGTCCGAAGCTACGTATCCGTGACCACCTGCAGCCCTGGAGTGGCCCCCCCCCCCCCCCCCCCCCCCCCCCCCCCCCGCCACCTGTCTGCAGGCAAAGGGAAAAGCTCCCAGCTTGATGTAAGCCAGGGATCCTGGGCCGACCTTGGGAAGAACTCTGGGAGAAACCCAAAGGGGCCCAAGTCGGCGGCCAGCGCCCCCGGTGCCGGGAGGAACGGGTGGGCTGAGCTAAGGAATGGCAGGTGCAGCTCTGGAGGCAGCGAGGGGGTCTGACAGGCCTCCTCCCCACTCCAACCTGCAGAACCTGCTTAGGCGCTGCCACGGGTCCCAGGCCAGCTACCTCTTCCAGCAGGACAAGTTCTACGACGTGGCTCTGGACACTGGAGACAAGGTGGTGCAGTGTGGCCGCCGGGTGGACTGTCTGAAGCTGTGGCTCATGTGGAAGGCGCAGGGCGGGCAAGGGCTGGAGCGGCGTGTCGACCAGGCCTTTGCCCTTGCCTGGTAGGAGGGGGGTGTCGGAGGTCCTGCCCCCGCCCGCGGCCCTGCGCCTCACATTTCCCTCGCCCTCAGGGTCTCTTGGCTCATTGTCGGGGGCTCTTCTGTTTCTGTGGCTCCGCTTTTCCTCCTCTGTGATTTCTCCCTCTCGGTGTGCAGGTACCTGGTGGAGGAATTGAAGAAGCGAGAAGGATTTGAGTTGGTCATGGAGGTAGGAGCGAGTCTGCGCTCTTTTGCGGCCCGCTCCCACCCCCACCCCCCTACTCCCCCACCCTCCTACGCTACTCCCCCCACTCCCCCACCACCCCTACTCCCCTCTACCCTCCCACCCCCCACCCTACCACTCCCCCTCTACTCCCCCCTACCCCCCACCCCCCCACCCCTGTCCATCCCACACGCAAAGCCCTCAGGGGGCAAGAGGGCCAGTGAGGGGGGCAGCCCCCTTCCACAGCCCGCACACCTTGTCCTCCTGTTCCTCCCAGCCCGAGTTTGTCAATGTGTGTTTCTGGTTCGTGCCCCCCAGCCTGCGGGGGAAGCAGAAGTGCCCGGATTACAGTGAAAGGCTGGCCAAGGTAGGCGCTCCTCTGGGCTCCTCGGAGCCCACTTTAGGGAACTGCTGCCTCGGGCTGCTGCGGGCTGTCCCTGCCCCCTGCTGGCGAAGCGGCTGGCCTCCGAGGCTGGTCTTGCTCTGAGCTGGGGGTGTGAACTGGGAGACGCCACCAATTTGTCCTCATTTCCGTGGGGGTGGGGACAGGAAATAAGGTATGTTTCTGGAAAATGGAAAGAGGACCGAGAGGGATGTCCTGGGAGAGGTCACCAGTGTGCAGTAGTGGCCCGTGGGAGTTGTGCTGGGAGCTCGGGGCTGGGGCCGGGACAGCCAGGTGAGGCCTCACTCCCTGCCGCGGAGCAGCCCTACAGCCCTACAAGGCCGTCCAGACGTGGCCTCCCGGAGGGAAAGGAGCTATGTCATGTCCCTAAGGATAGATTGGTGCTAGGTGCCGCAGATAATCTGGAAGGACAAGAACGTTCTTGCCCTTAAGGAGTTATTTAGAAGAGCAGAGTTGCCTATTTGAGACCAATATGTTTGAGGCAATCTTGTGAATTGTGTGTTAGATTACAGGGTGCAGATCGCAAACATCCCAGGCATTCAGAGAGGGGAGAAGAAGGTGTCAGGACTGTCCAGGGCTAGAGGGTTAGACGAAAGCAGTGTTGGGAGTCAGGGAACAGTCAGGATTGGGAAAATGGCCCATGTGACAACTTGGAGATAGGTAGGATGGGAGTAATGCAGAGGCTGGAGAAGGCAAGCAGGTGGGATGTAGTGGAAAAGGTGACCTGGGGCCTCGGGAGCTGAGCGATGAGCCTCCCTGGGAAAGGTATGGCCGAGTGAGAAGGAAGTGCACCTAGGGGACCTGCCTCCGAGGCTGCTGCTGGCAATTGTCTCCACCTCTTCTATAGGTGGCCCCAGTGCTCAAGGAGCGCATGGTGAAGGCGGGCTCCATGATGATTGGCTACCAGCCCCACGGGACCCGGGGCAACTTTTTCCGCATGGTTGTGGCCAACCCCGCGCTGACCCGGGCTGATATGGACTTCCTTCTCAACGAGCTGGAAAGGCTGGGCCAGGACCTCTGAGCTTCCGCCTCACTGCTGGCCTTGGCACCCACCTCCCCCTCGCTGTCTCTGTGCATTCGCCTGTGCTCCCAAGGACAGAGTGACCTTAACAACATTTGAGTGTGTTGACCCGCTAACTCTCCTATGAAATATTTGCCATTAGGAAAATATTTAAATAAACTAACAGTATATCCATATGATGGAATGTTTCTCTGCCATTAAAATTATACTTACAAACAAGATTTTTATTGATAGGAAAAAAATAATGTGCTACTGGAAAAGCTGGAAACAAGACTTTGTGTATAGTAATATCTGAGGGTGTTCGAACATACATAGGAGAAGATGGATAGAATGAAATATGCCCAATGTCAATAATTTTCCCTGGGATGGGATTATAGGCAACTTAAAATGAACATTTCTAGGGATGCCTGGGTGGCTCAGTGGTTGAGCGCCTGCCTTCAGCTCAGGGTGTAATCCTGGGGTCCTGGGATTGAGTCCCACATTGGCTCCCTGCAAGGAGCTTGCTTCTCCCTCAGTGTGTGTTTCTGCTTCTATTATCTCTCGTGAATAATTAAAAAAAAATCTTTAAAAAATTAACATTTCTAAACCTTTTGTGTTTCCCCCTTTTATTATGTAATGAATATACATTACTTTTATAATAGGGAAATAATAAAGTTAAAATTTCGATTATATCATTTTAGTATGTTTTAAAGTTTGATACCTTTCAACCAAATAATAGAAAATGTGATTTTTTTTTTTTTTTTTTTTTTTTTTAAGACAAGTGTAAGAGGGATGCCTGGGTGGCTCAGCAGTTGAGCATCTGCCTTCGGCTCAGGTCATGATCCCAGGATCCAGAATCAAGTCCCAAATCGGGCTCCCTGCAGGGAGCCTGCTTCTCCCTCTGCTTGTGTCTCTGTCTTTCACTCTGTGTTTCTCATAAATAAATAAGTAATATCTTAAAAAAAAGAAAAGCAAGTATAAGAGAGGATAAAAATGGGAAACTTTTTTCTCAGATCTATAGTAAGAGAGGAAAGACCACATGTGAAGTAGCTCTAAATTAACTATACTTCAGTGGCATTGAAAACAAACTGGGTACTGATTATATGTTGAGACCAGAGCTGTGTCCACTTATCACTCTCGAAAAATCCTCACACACAAAACAAAGGAAGAATTTTCCTTCTTGTATAGGTGTGCCTGGCTGGCTCAGTCAGTAGAGCATATGACTTGTGATCTTGGGGTTGTGAGTTTGAGCCCCACAGGAGAGATTTACTTACTTAAATATATACATACATAAATTTTTTTAAGAATGGATTTTCCTTCTGTAATTTGAACAACAGAAACCAAGCTAAAAGAAAAAAGAAGAAAGAAAGAAAGAAAGAAAGAAAGAAAGAAAGAAAGAAAGAAAGAAAGAAAGAAAGAAAGACGGGATCCCTGGGTGGCGCAGCGGTTTGGCGCCTGCCTTTGGCCCAGGGCGCGATCCTGGAGACCGGGATTGGAGACCCGGGATCGAATCCCACGTCGGGCTCCCGGTGCATGGAGCCTGCTTCTCCCTCTGCCTATGTCTCTGCCTCTCTCTCTCTCTCTCTCTCTCTCTCTCTGTGTGTGTGACTATCATAAAATAAAAAAAAAAAAAAAAAAAAAAAGAAAGGAAGACCCAGCAACCAGACATCCATTTTACACTTACAGTCCTGGGCTGGTGTTGCTTTTCAAGTCATTTTTGGGGAAAGAGGCCATTAGCTACACAAGTTATTTGCTTGGTTTTGTTTTGTTGTCCAAGGTTTATTGAAGATAATTACAGCAGGAAGATTCAAATGGCTCCATGTGGTGTTCTGAAATTCGTCTCAACTCTAGGCTGAGTGACCTGCCGTTTGGACAGACCACCAAAGTCTGAGACCCTCAACATTTCCTCAGTGTCAGGTCTGCCTTCCTGATCTCCTGATCCGGGGCTGAGACCTCAGGAACGTAATTCTCTCACCTTTCTCCCTCTTCCTCCTGCGGCTTGATGGAGACCCCTCTCACTGGGCCTCTCTGAATCTGCTCCATCTGCCCTGTGACAGCCTGTTCTGTCGTGGAATTTCCTGCCGGGGAATGACGAGGCCTCCTTACACGTGTGCTTGTTGGTGTGGAATCGATGCCCAGGGGCATGTACTGCTTCTCAATGACCACCCGGCCCACCTTCTTCATGCCTTCCGTGCAAGCTCAGCCCACATTGGTGGGCCTGGTAAAAGAGGAAACAGCGCTGCACAAGTTATTAAGGACAAGTGGCAAATCTACTGGAACTTTCTGTTATTTCCAATTCCTGAAAATACCATTTATGAAAACAATAATGTGGTCATGTAAAAATCATCCAATGTTATTTGAAGAGGCAAATACAGACTGTTCAAACCATAGTGAAAGAACATCCAAATCGTAGACCCAAGGCAGCCCTGGTGGCTCAGCGGTTTAGCACCGCCTTCAGCCCAGGGTGTGATCCTGGAGACCTGGGATGGGGTCGCACGTCCGGCTCTCTGCATGGAGCCTGCTTCTTCCTCTGTCTCTCTCTCTGTCTCTCATGAATAAATAAATAAAATGTTTAAAAAAAAAAATCGTAGACCCAATTCTCTTGACCATTTGACAGGGGGAAAAAGCCTTTCTATTCATAAATTACTAATAATTCCCCCTATAAACTTATTTTCCCACAAATGCTATTTGACTTCTTCCAAATAATAAAATTGTTTGAGGTTGTTAATAATTTGAACTCTAAGCCCTATTCTTTTTTTTTTTTTGAAGATTTATTTATTTATTTATTCATGAGAGACACACAGAGGCAGAGACACAGGCAGAGGGAGAAGCAGGCTCCCAGCTGGGAGCCCCATGTGGGACTGGATCCCTGGACCCCAGGATCACACACTGAGCTGAAGGCAGATGCTCAACCACTGAGCCACCCAGGTGCCCCTCTAAGCCCTATTTTTAAAGAGTTCTATATATCTGCAAAATGTCTTAAACTTTGTGGAAAAGACAAACTAAAAAAAGATCTTCAACTCAAAACAAAGCTAGAAAGCAAAAACAAAACCAAAATCTCCAAGATCCTTTAATCATCTCAATCTGAGAAATATATATTTTTTTTCCTGAGAAATATTTTATTTATTTTTTTAAAAATTTTTTTTTAATTTTTATTTATTTATGATAGTCACACAGAGAGAGAGAGAGAGAGAGAGGCAGAGACACAGGCAGAGGGAGAAGCAGGCTCCATGCACCAGGAGCCTGATGTGGGATTCGATCCCGGGTCTCCAGGATCGGGCCCTGGGCCAAAGGCAGGCGCTAAACCGCTGCACCACCCAGGGATCTTCTGAGAAATATTTTAAAGTGAAGATCAGAAAGACAAGACCCGGATTCAGTTAATTACCAGGTTTTCTCCAGCTTTATGAGCTGATGCTTCTATTCTTCTATTGTGTGGAGTTTTTTTGTTTTGTTAAATTAGCTCTACACCCAATATGGGGCTTGGAAACTCACCACCCTGAGATCAAGAGTCCCACTGAGCCAGCCAGGTGCTCCTACTCTCCTATTCTCAGAGCTCAACCTTTAAATCTCTGGACACAGTGTGGCAGTCTCCTGCTTCCTCTCTCCCGTCAGCATTTACGGAGCTCCTGCTGTGTGTAATTCCTTTCTCTGCCTTCAAAGAGTTTAAGATTTAAGTAGTCCTCCCTCTTTGGAGGCCTGTCCCTGCTTCAGGGCCTTTGCACCTGCTGCCCCCTTTTGGCTCAAAGTTCATCTAACATAGTTCACTCCCTTATTGACTTTATTTATTTATTTTTTTTTAAAGATTAATGGGAACTATTTCTTTTTTATTTTTTTAATTTTTTATTTATTGTTTATTTATGATAGGCACACAGTGAGAGAGAGAGAGGCAGAGACATAGGCAGAGGGAGAAGCAGGCTCCATGCACCGGGAGCCCGATGTGGGATCCGATCCCGGGTCTCCAGGATCACGCCCTGGGCCAAAGGCAGGCGCCAAACCGCTGCGCCACCCAGGGATCCCCCTTATTGACTTTAGATTTCTGTTTAGATGTCACCTCCTTAGTGAGGCTTTCCTTGAATATTCTACTTAAAATACATTTTCCCCTTTAGTTCTTGTGCTTCCTATTCTATTATCTGCCCTGTTTTTCTCCACGGCATGTGTAAGTATCCGGCATAGTCTATATTTCAGTCTATCTATCTATCTATCTATCTATCTATCTATCTATCTATCATCATCTATCAATATATTTATTTAACTTTTTTCTGTCTCACCCAACTAGAATGTAAGCTCTGGGAGCATGGATTTTGTATCACTGCTTCCTAGAATGGAGTCTAGTACTTCCTGGATGGGTGATGTTGAGTGAATGGTTAACGGGCTCCGGGTAGTAGATGACTTGCTGTCAGTCACGGGGCTGAGTGAGTGGTGGAGTCAAAGTCGAATTTAGATTATCTCCCTCCAGCACTTACCCATGGACCTAGATGGCTTCTGTTGTCACACGTACATAATTTATAGGTGTGGGTGTCAGGGCCGTTTTATTATCTATATGCTGTGGATCTGCTGCTTTCAGGAAGAATGAAGAATGAAGCCACGTGTAAGTTTGAATACCCATCTTGCCCTGGGCCTGGGGAAATCGTATTTTCATCAAACAGGAAACAAGAATGTGGGGAATACCTACCTAGGTGAGTTGCGTGTTGGGATAGGTTTTGTTTGGTTTGGGGTTTGGTTTTGGTTTACAGCAGTCAAAATACTCAAGTGGCCAGACTCCACAGGCCTGGGGAAAGAAAATGGTACCTTCACAAGTAGGCCATGGGCTGAGGAGCTTAAAGCTGGGTGGGGCACCTATGAGATGGCAACTCTTTTTTTTTTTTTTTTTTTTAAAATATTTTTATTGGGCAGCCCGGGTGGCTCAGCGGTTTAGCGCCACCTGCAGCCCGGGGCGTGATCCTGGAGACCAGGGATTGAGTCCCACGTCGGGCTCCCTGCATGGAGCCTGCTTCTCCCTCTGCCTGTGCCTCTGCCTCTTCTCTCTCTCTCTCTGTGTGTCTCTAGGAATAAATAAATAAGTAAAAAATCTAAAAAAAAAATAACAGATTTTATCTGTTTCTTTATTTGTGAGAGACAGAGAGAGAGGCAGAGACATAGGCAGAGGGAGAAGCTGGTTCCCCATAAGAAGCCTGATGTGGGACTGGATCCCAGGACCCCGGGATCAGGACCTGAGCCAGAGGCAGACACTCAACAACTGAGCCCCCTGGGGTGCCCCTCTTATCACTCTTTTATATGTGTACTATAACTTTTTTTTCTGAACCACTTGAGAATTGGCTTCAAACAACATACCCCTTTATCTCTGAAACTGCATATTTCCTAAGAACAAGAATATTATTTTAAATATTATTTTAAATAACCATGGCCCAATGACCAAATTCAGGAAATTTCACACTGACACTGTACTTTAAAGTCTACATTCCAAAATTGTCAGTTGTCCCAATAGTGCCCGCTCAGGCATTTTCCTTCTCATATGCGAACCCAGGCCAGGATCATGTGTCACCTTTTGTGGTCATATTTCTGCTTCCTTAAACTAAAGTAAACTAAACTTAACTGAAATGGTTCCTCAGCCTTCTTTGTCCTTAATGACATTGACCTTCTTAAAGAATACAGGCCAGTCATTTTCTAGAATGTTCATCTATTTGTTTTTCCT